GCGTGTGGGGGAGCGGAGGGCGGCCGGACCTTCTACATCTGGGTAAATTTTCACGAGGTGTCGAGTGCTGGACATTAAAGGTGGTTTCGAAAGGCTTTCCGAAAAATTTGGGCCATCGATTGGTGTTGTGCAGTCGTTCCTACGTCCCTATCGGAAATTTAAGGTTAACATTTTCGCTGAATCTGACCGTAGAGACCCATAAAAATTGTAGCTGGTGAAGCGGTGGTAACTTGACAGGCCGTGCCCAATTTTTAGCGATGGAACAGGGTCTATCAACATTTACTCCACGGGTTTTTTTTTTGAATCGTGTTGAGGCATCGAATGCAACTAGTCCTCTGCAGGGGTTATCCACTCGAAAGCTTTGACCGGATTTTTGCAAAAAGTCTCGGACTGTAGGTATCTCAAAAAGCTGTTCACTTACAGTAAAGTGTTTTGGTCTGGATGGAAATTCGGGATGAGACCGGGCCTACCTTGTGCAGAAATTTTCGCTGATTCCGAATATGTTTTCAGGATTTCCAGAATGCCTGTTATTTCAAAAGTTACTGCGCATTTTAGGAAGCTTTCGGACCAAAAATTGCATCTTGAAACCCATGTAAAAATCGTAAGAGGCAAAATAAACAAAAGTTGTGTATCACATGTTGCTTTGCGAGGAACGCGCTTTCAGATAAATGCCATACCTACATTTACACGATTTTTACAGGGGCCCAAAATGGAATTCTTGGTCCGAAAACACCTTAAAATGCGCTGTAACTTTTGAAAAATTCTGAAAAAAAAATCTGCAAACTCTGAAAACATAATCGGAATCCGCAAAAATTTCTGCGCAAGATAGGCCATAGTCGAGGTTTTTCACCTGACTCTTTTTGCGTCTTTGCGATAATTTGGCTGACGTTGGTTAGGCAGAAAATGTTATCAAAATTTTATTCACGCATCCATCCAAAAAAAATTTAGATGGTTCCGCAAATTGGGCCGACGGTGTGGTAGTTCTCGATGTTGGCAGTGTTCGAGCCGCGTTTGATCTGAAACGGATAGATGAGGGAGAGAGAGAGAGAGAAAGAGAGAGAGAGAGAGAGAGAGAGAGAGAGAGAGAAAGAGAGAGAGAGAGAGAGAGAGAGAGAGAGAGGAGAGGGAGGGATATAGAGAAAGAGAGAGACATTCCCTACCTTAAAATATCCCGACATTCCCAGTTGCTTTCCCCACTGGTTGCGAGCAAGCCAATAATCAACTCCATTCTCGGTTCCTGAAGCAATAGGATCATTTCCATATCCGGTGCCCTTCCTACCGTATCCAATGAGGGTGATTGCGTGTCCTCCCTGGTAGTCCGAATCGGTGGTCTTGCAGTTACGGGTGTAGATGCCGTTCGTGTAGTAGTTGATGTCGTCACAGATATTGAAGCCTGAAATTCGTTTATGTTGACAAGCACAGACCACAAATACTGTTGGAAATGTGCAAAATAGCTTACAGGCAACAACAGGCCCGGTGTTCCAGATGAAGTCGCGAGTTCCGGCGGCGTTAGAGGTCAGGGTGGTCTGGCCAGTGACGGGGCGGAAGACCGACTGAAACGCGGTTTTTAACTTACCGTTGGTCTTTTATGCATGACAGGCGTAGTCCCGTTAATTCTAGAAACTTACGGCAGTCGGACAGCTCGACGACTTGACGGCCTTGTAGGGGAAGCTGGAGAGCAGGGCAACGCCGGAGGTGTTCACGCGCCTTGACTAATACATTAGAAGCGCGGTAGGCGCCAAATTACTTGATGGCATCGCTCGGCCATCCCCCAGAGATACAGTCACCTTGGCTGGTGCAGTCGAGCACGTGCTGGAGGAGTGGAATTTGCAAAATGCAGGGGTTTTTTACCTGATCCGAGAATTTGCGCATGTTCGTTCCGTACTTTCCGTTGACCCAGTTTGATTGGATTTCGATGGCCGCGACGGAGCTGCAAATACGTGGCGATCATGTACCCGCTAGGTATCACCCTCCCTCGGCGCTCTCTCTCTCTCACTTTCTCACGTTCTCTCTCTCTATCTCGCTCTATCTCTCTCTCGCTCTCTCGCTCTCTTTCTATAGCTCTCTCTCTCTATCTCTCTATCTCTCGCGCTTTCTTCTCAACACCTACGCAAAAGCCCAGCAGCTGTTGCAGTCGCCCTGGCTGCGGATCGGATTGACAAGATCGTATTGGCGGTAGTCCTCCGTAGCTCCGACGGCCTAAAATATGCATTTTTATTGTAAAGTATTGAGACCTTTACTCTAAATTGAGATTTTATATCGATATTTCGGTATCCAGTTTCCTCTGGACGCCAACTTACGCGCTTGCGGCGCCTCGGAGCATCGTCGGGGTGTACTTCCGGAATGGAGGCGTCGACGACCGGTTGGAAGTGGGGGCCGAGCAGGAACTACAATCATTCTTTTGTGCTGTAATAGCGTTGGATACCTTCTTCTTGTCCTCCAAACTCATATCCATGCGGTCCGTCAATCCGAGCTCGTAACTGAAATTCTCGGGGTGAGTGTTAAGATGATTTACGAGCTTTACGTCGCTGAAAATCTATCACCTACCCGTCGCACGTCTTGTTCTTCTCGACGATGTACTTCCAGTTGCGGGCAAAATTCCTCTTGCGGTTCTTGCAGTCGGCAGATCCATCAACGCACTTCCGGCCGAAGCTGAAAAACAGGGTAAAATCGTTGAAAAACGACACGTCGATGAAAATCGGTTGTTTCGTAATGAAGATAATCTACCGTGACTTGAACTGGTTGAACTTCTCGGCGGCACCGTCGTCAAGAAGCCCATCCACATCCAGCTTGGACAGGGGTCCAGCCGAAACCCACGCCGCGAGACCGAAGAGCGCGAGGAGCACGAGGCGGCTCATCGTATTTGTTACCCTGCGAGAAATGGAAGTGGATCGAAAAAATCAAATTGAAGTGGAAGTGAAGTTATTGTTAGGTCTAACGTATGCCTAAGTCTAAACTGAGCCTAAGCTAAGCCTTTGCTATGCCTACGCGAAGCCTAATCTGAGCTGTAGCTTAACATCCACCCTGCTCCACCGACCCCAAGCTTTACCTTTTATACTATACCCGCGATCTCCCCATTCCATTCATCCGGGCCCAAAATTTCATTTCAATACGTGAATTCGAAGTGTCTGCCTAGCGTACCCCACGGCTTCCAGCGGCGTTTGATCTCGGGGTTTTTTCATATTATGCAACCTGTATTGCAGTCGTCAATAGAGCCCCCGCTCTCATGGGCCAAACGGAACTCAAATTGCGCAAATGCGGAAGTTTTGTTGCACGGTATGAAATTCAGAAACCGTAATTTACACATTCAACCTTACCATCCCTTGGAAAGATGGCCGGGCGTCCCCAGGGTTGAGGGACCGACGGGGCGATACCATGCACGCTTTCCATCGCGTAAGGGGCCCCAAAACCCCGACTGGGTTTCCAGAAAACGGGTTTATAGCCATAACTTTTTTGATTGACTATATTTTTGGCTGGAAACTTCCATAAAAATACTTTTTAGCCATCCCCATCGGTGATAAAAACTTGAGGCAGATTGGATAGAAGGCGGCCATGCTCTGAGCGCAGAGAGGTTTTTGGGAATCGTCGGACAGGGTATAAAACACTTCAGGAAATTCAGGGAGCACTTTCCTTGCCCTTAGCAAGCTTTTCCATAGGTTTTTGCGTTATTATTCTTTGTAAATAGCTTTATTTTGAATTGTTGCCCAGTAACGTGCACCAGTTCGGTCCTAGGGTACTTGGGGACCCTCCGCCGTCACCCACTCGACCCCTTTGGTGCGGGGGTAGCCCGTTGGACTGTGGGGCTTATGTTCAAAATGTCGAAATTCATAATGTCGAAACTCATAATGTCGAAATTCATAATGTCGAAATTTCATAATGTCGAAATTTCACAATTTCGAAATTCATAATGTCGAAATTTCATAATGTCGAAATTTCACAATGTCGAAATTTCATAATGTCGAAATGTTATAATGTCGAAGTTTCATAATGTCGAATTGGCAGAATGTCAAAATTCAGAATGTCGAAATTTACGTAAGCTAAAATTCCCGGTAAAGTCCCCGAATTCTAGGCGCAAAATGTTGTCGTGAAATAAGATAAAAAAATGGAATGTGGAAAAAAGTTTTTGGCTGGGATTTGGCGGTTACACCGGTAATATTAGTCTATGTAAATTTCGACATTCTGAATTTCGACATTATGAATTTCGACATTATGATTTTCGACATTATGATACCAAATCAAAATTGCTTAATGGGATTAGCTGGTAGATGGAGAGTTTCTTCCAAATAAATACAATCGACGCGCGTTCCGCTCATTGAAACAGGTTTTTGTCTTGTTGTTTATCTGTATCGTGCACCTTCATGTGATCCTATGAGGTAGTTATCCTATGTTTTACATTGGCATCATTCCATATCCGCTTTGTGTTGGTGTTACTGGGCTTATGTGCAACAATATGATTGACCATTTTTATCTGTGCATCCATCAACAAGATTAGATGGTTCCGCAGATGGGGCCAACGGTGTGGTACGATTCGATCGAGGCAGTGTCGGCGCCGCGCTTGATCTAAAAACGGGATACAGTAATTTTTTGTGGGGTGCGACTAGCCTTGAAGTATCCAGCCATGCCCCAGCCGGTTCCCCACTGGTTGCGTCCAAGCCAGTAATCGATTCCACCCTCAGTTCCTGAAATATTACATTTGACTGGACTATGCCACGCGCTCATTACCGTATCCGATAAGGGTGATGGCGTGGCCTCCCTTGTAATCGGAATCGGTGGTCTTGCAGTTGCGGGTGTAGATGCCGTTGGTGTATGAGTAGAAGTCGTTACAGACTTGGAAGCCTAAAATTTTGAGTGAGCTGATAGAGAGCGTGAGAGAGAGCGGTAGTGATAGAAAGGGAGAGATAGAGCTATCGACTGTCAAAACCTACAAGCAACAACCGGTCCAGTGTACCAGATGAAGTCACGAGTTCCGGCCGGGTTGTTGGTCAGCATCGTCAGACCGGTGACCGGGCGGACGACGGACTAAAACTAGGCATCAACAGTAGTTGCCGACCTTACCGGGGTGGGGCAAGTAGTGGACTTGGAGGTCTTGTAGGGCAGGGTGGCGAGAAGCGCGATTCCGGAAGAGTTGACACGGCTGGAATTCGTGATACCAAGGCGATTAGGGAGTGACTTACCTGATGGCATCGCTCGGCCATCCTCCAGCGCAGGTGGCACCACTGCCGGTGCAGTCGAGAACGTGCTGTAAGGATATCGATACCCTTAAGCGAATCTACCTGATCAGAGAACTGACGCATGCTGCTTCCGTACTTGTCGTTGACCCAGTTTGATTGGATTTCGATGGCCGCCACAGAGCTGAAATTAGGATAGCAAGAGAAAGAGAGAGAGAGAGAGGAGAGAGAGAGAGAGAGAGAGAGAGAGAATGAGAACTCACGAGAAAGCCCAGCAACATCCGCAGCCTCCTTGGTTGCGGATCGGGTTCACCAGATCGTATTGGCGGTAGTCCTCGCTAGCGGCGGCATCCTGAACAAGGTATTGAATAGTGGCTTCCGCACTATAAGGATTGTTTAGCCATCCTCGGCAGCATTACTTACCCGCTTGCGACGACGGGGCGCGTCATCGGGGTGGACGAGCTGGACGGATTCGTCGATCTTCGGCTGGAAGTCCTTGCCGAGAAGGCGCTAGAAACAATCATTTCTTTGGAACTGCGCTCGTTTCCATACGCTCTCCTTCTCCGCCTCGCTCAAGTCCATCAGATCCGTCATGCCGAGCTGGTATCTGAAGTCACGACGAGAGTGATCAAAAAGATATCGAGTACCCGTCGCAGGTCTTGTTCTTCTCGAGGACGTATTTCCAGTTGCGAGCGAAGTTCCTCTTGCGGGCCTTGCAGTCAGCCGATCCATCGGCGCATTTGCGTCCGAAGCTGGAAAATGGAAGCGTGTAATTTTTGAATCTAACCGCTCGTTACAGACGGGTGGCAGATAACGTACCGCGACTTGAAGGTATTGAAGGAGTTTGCCGTCGCATCATCGAGGATGCCGTCCAGATCGAGTTTGGACAGGGGACCGGCAATCACCAGGGCCGCGAGACCGAAGAGTGCGAGGAGCGCGAGACGGCTCATCGTATTTGTTACCCTGAAACGGTCCGATTCCTGGTACGAGAAAAAAGAGAGAGAGAATGAGGGAGTGTAAGAGAAGCTAATCCTCGTTTTGGATAACCAAGCCGATGAAGCCTGATGCTGAAGCCGAAGAAAACGCTGATGATGCCCCTATTCCACACCGACAACCTTTTATACAGACCCATCCCGACAATCCAGTGTCCCGAAAACCCAATCTCGCCTAGAATTTCAATAGACCAAGTTTCCGGGTTGCTTCGTGCTGAACGCGCGCAGCTGGATGTCGATCCCGATGGGACATCCATTTTTTGTTATTAATCCGAATTCGATGAAACTGGCGCCTGCTATACAATGTTCCGATCCGTTAGAGGGCGACAATTTCGGGCCCTAGCCGGTCGGGAATCAAGAACTGGCTATTGTGAGACGAAGCTGATATCATGGTTTTGATCCATTCGAATCTGTCTGAAGGGTAAGATCGGAATTTATGACGGGTAAAATATGAATTTTTGACAATGCAACTCTGCTTTTCATTCTTAGATGCTTTCTGCGCAAAAAAACCGCCGGAATTACCTCGCCGGTGCGCTTAGTAGCATAAACAACTCGTTTTAGAACCACCCACAGGGCACCGAATCTAGAATTAATGGCTTTTTAACACCATTTTACGATTGTTTAGATGGCGCGGCCTGTCTGGAGGGAGTTTGGCGGCAAAAATCAAATCCGCGCTTCGTATAAAGCCCGAAGAACTAGGAAGCTAAGCCAGAAAGGTCAGAAGCTATGGAGGCTTTATCAAAATCGACCATGCGCGTCGATCAAGATTCCCTGGCGCCACAAGTTGATTATTATCGATTGGTGGTGGCTATATTGGCTCTCACGCTAGCTATTCCAACTTTCGTTATTGCTGCTATACTTACAAAGCACTTTTTCAGAGGCAAATTGAACACAGTGTTTACGAAAATATGCTACTTTGCGGTGGTTGCGGTAAGCTAATCTAGTGGCCTAAATTAACGAAAACTCAAGCTTTAAGGACCTGCTCGGATTGCTGCTCGATCTCGTTGCCTGGGATTTCGCGAGTATGGGATTACTACGATACTACGAGTATATTTCGGTAAGTTAGTAGGTTTTTCAGTTACCTCTAGGCGAGTTCCCGGGTAGGAACAATTTCAACGCGTAATCAATCAACCATATTTTAGTCCGGCTTTATTCCCACGATTTTGTCGCTCGGCCAACTAGCTTCCCGTAAATTCCAAATGTTTTGCTGTGTACTTATCGCCTTCAACCGCCTCACAGTACTTTCCTGGAGACAACCTACAGTCAAGAAGGTATTAGACATCCGAATCTATAAGCGAGAAAAGTTTAATATATTGTGAAATACCTATTGCTTCAGTTCTGGCAACACTCCCATTGCCCACTATTATTAATTGGGCTCGCCATATCGCTGGTATTTTTGATGGGAATGGCCCTGCATGGGGCGAGATTCGAACGTTTCAACACCTGCTGTGTCTGGATTTTGAGATCGGGCCGGCAGTCGTTTGTGGGTCTTTAAAGGGGCTCCGGACTGCCAAATCAAAGCCCTTTTGTGAGGCCTCGTTGATTTCTGGCGAATTGCCAGCGGGCGCTGCGGGACGAGAGCCCCCACTCTTTCGATTTCTGCGCGAAGTTGTTTTGCCCGGTTTCTTTGTGAAAACACTATAATTCGCGCATTCTAAGCCCATTTTTGAAATCCTCACTTAATTTTAAATCGTTTTAGTGTTTTAAGCATCAAATTTGGCCCAGAAACAACCGAGAACGGGATTTCAAGGTGACAACAGGCAATTTCAAATTTGCGGCTTCCCGGGCCCCTGGGTGTACAGAGGCCTCCGACGTACAGTGCTCCGATTTTCGGGCCGTCACTCGATGACTCGACGCACACTCGACGCATTTCGTAGCCCCTTTAAAGAAAAACTTGGAATTGGCTACGGTTTACTTTACCCCCAGCCGGAGTTTTTTGGCTGTAGCTTTTTTTATTTTACATTATGTGGGCTCAAATTAAAAAACTCTTAGGATATTTTTCGACGATCTATCGAATGGCGTTGCAAAACGAAAAAATAAAAGCGAAACTTTAAGGTCCTTCGGCTATGGGGGTAAAAGCAAATTTACCGTGGCATTTTTATCGATTTTCAAATTTTATCGATTATAAGTTATTGTAACTAGGCACCAAAGTCATTTTAGCCCCTGCCCGCATCTCCAGCGTGGTCACTAGGTGTATTCACAATCCTCGGAGTGATGGCGCTAGTTCTCAACATTCTGGTTTTACGAAAACTCATCGTGATACCGCAGAAAAAGAATACCAGTTTTTTATCCCGCGTCGTCAGCAGGGTACACTTAATTTTATCGATTCGATCTTCAATTATTGCCACAGGCTGAGCATCGGCTTTGCTTTTTCAGCCTTTATTGTTACGGTTGCGAAATGCTGTATGTGGCGGCGCAGGTAGGCTCATACAGGGTTTCCCAAAAATACCCGGACACTTTTTAAAGTGATTTTTCTCTAGTTTTTCTCATTTCTTGGCACCCTAGGGAAAATTTTCCAACTTTTTGACTAGTTTTCGAAAATGTTCCGCTGAAAAAACTTAGGGAAGGTTCCCTAGGCTTTTGTAAGAACGCGAAAAAAAGTTACCGAGGATTCTGACCCCTTGCAAACCGCTCGCTCGACAATCCATCACGGGGGCCCAAACGGGCCAGAATCAAACCTGCCACTGCTTTAATTCGACCCATCCTGGAGGCAAATGTCTGTAGTTTGTTTCGTCAGACACTAGATAACCTGATTCGGCCGCTAAAGCAAGAACTAAACCCGGGTGAAACGGAAAAGCACGTTTTGCTTACCGAAGCTTTACGGAAAATTTGTCGGCCCAAATGGTGCGCTTTTTTAGTCAAAAACTAAGACCAATGTGCTAATTGCTGGTATGAATAATATCATATACCCTAACCCCGGTTTTCTGTAAGAACTCCTCCCTTAAAAACGTTTTGCCCTGGTATTTTTGGGACACCCTGCAGTTTAATAAATTTGATAATTTCTAATCTTATGAATTCAGAGGCGCTTGATTTTCTCAAATTTGAAAAGGATGACCACCTCTAAATGTTAAAGATAATGCCTAGAAAGATAATGTTAAGCTCGACCGCCTCTAGCGAGCCGCGGTCCTGTCCGATTGTGACGATTTAGGTATCTAACGAAAGCTCTCGAAAAGCCGAGAGAACAAGCACTTTTTGTTTTTCAATATAGCCAATTTAATTCGCCAACTTTAGGGCCAAAATCCATGAAAACCGCAGATTTTATGCAAAAACAACATGTTAATTGATTGCTAAATTAAACAGGACGACGCTGTTTTTACTCTATTTTGAGTAATCGTCAAATATCGAGCGCGGGCTAAAAAATTTTTGAAACGAAAAACACTTGTTTTTTCGTCGTTTGAAGGGCTTTCGAATTCGAATGGTGTAAGAATCATCCCGATCCGCCCTTCCTCCCGGCCGCTAGAAGGGGATCGATTTTTTTTGGGACACCCTGTAGTTTAAAAGAAAAGTCCAGTCAGCATGTTCGGGTAGCAACGAAATTACAAGTACAATCAGCAAGCTCAGGTAGCTTTAAGAAAATACAGGTTCGTTCATTTTCCTTGTTAATTCGTCGAGTTTGATGGGAACAATCGTTCGATCTGTCCCCGTAGCTGATTCACCCTGTCGCTTTGAAAAGAATGTTGGGATTCTCATTTCTTACAGGCGGTGCCGATGCTTCAGATTGTCATTTTGTTCTCCCCGAGGGTTTTCGAATTTCTGTGCATTTACTGTGCTATTGCATTTAAGGGGGGCAAGTCCGAAATTGGTTAGTAAGAGTCTACGAGGCTGGCTATATGCTATAGCTAGATTAGCTTAGATTTAACTATGCTGTTGCTCCCTAACCATAGCGTGGCCCAACTATGCTCAAGCTGCCTTTGTATGAAGCCAAGCCTAGGCTTCGGCTTAGTTTTGCTTTCCAGAGGCTTAGAATTTGAAAAACGGCATTTGGAGCGTCTCGTAGCCAAAATCCGGACTGCTCCCCTAACTGCAATAGCACCGAAAATTCATGTAAAATTTGCTAGTAATTTGCCCACGTTATGTTCTTTCGCCAATCCTGTGCACTTTGTTGCAAATAATCTCGAAAAAATTGGCTGGAAACTTGCTGAAAAAGTGCGTGTTTATGCGCGAATTCACAAAAGGTTCGCAGGGTAATGAGTTTTGTTTGGGGCTGGGGGGCAACGTTTTAAGTAGGGAACATGAGAATCTAGTTACTCCGAATCCACACTTCAAAAATCACTTGATAACCACGTAATTTTAGATTTCAATCCTTAAAATCGAGATTAAATGAGAAATCGTGGAATCGTCATCGAATCTATAAAATCGAAAATCCAGGCCAGGAAATCGTTGTTAGGGCGACAAATTTAATTTTTCAATTCTGATAACGTTCCCCTCCGCCAGAATTCTCGTGATCCCACTAAATTCCTAATTTAAATCAGCGAGTTTTTAGATTTCTCTTGCAGAAGATTCGGGTTCGGTCCCCGGGGAGATCAAGGCACAATTTGCGTTCCGGGTAGCGACAGCCGACTCATCGCTCACTTCTTAGAAATTTCCGGTCAAGTCACCATTGTACAACAAACCTCTCATATTCTGCCGTATCCAAAAATGGATACCGAACTGCCATTGGCTATCAACTATAAGGGAATCGTCAAAATAGTGGCTATTATTGCGCTAGCCCTGCCAACTCTAGTATTGGTATTCCGAATTAGCTGCCTATTCTTTCGCGGCAGCTTACAAACGCCATTCACTAGAATTTGCTATTGTGCGGTGGTTACGGTAAGTTTTTAGTGTCTTAGGAGATATTTTCAATTTATTTTAGGACATGTTCAGCTTCTTCTTGGATCTGGTAGCGTGGGACCTAGCCAGCGCCGGGATTTTCCCATTTTATGCGGGTCTCGAGCGCGGGTTCCTGCCCGTGGCCTTGAATCTGGGCCAGACGTGGGCTCGCAATTTTGAATTTTGTTGTATGGCCTTGGTGGCGTCGAATCGGTATACGGCGTTGTATTGGATGGGCGCTAGAGGGGATGGGGTGAGAGCTAATGGACCGAATCTTCCGAAAGAACCTATGCTAGTGCCAATAAAAAGGTGAACAAAGTTGTGGAAGGGAATTCAAAAAATTCGGAGAAACTTTGAGCCCGAGCTGTTTATCGTTCGTATCGATCTGTAGTTTTTCAGTTATGGCAAAAACGTTTTTAAGCTGTATTACGTCGGAATTGGGCAACGTTTAGTGAAAATGAAGCGCTGACCATTTTTCCGCTAAATTTTTTTGACTTGGCAAAACTCAGCCTTGAGAATGGCTATATAAGTTTTCTTGAAAAGTTAGAGTCAAACCCGAAATTAAGAGGCATCAGGGATTTAGTTCATCCCGGAGTTGATGTTAATCGGTGCAAAGTCCAAAAAGATAACCGAAAAAAAGGAGGCAAAGATGTTGAAAAACAGGGATTTTTGCCATAACTCGAAAACTACGGCAGCGAGTGGGCTCGAAGTTGGTGTGAATACTTTAAATACCCTTGTGCACCTCTGTTCGAAATTTCAACGGGGCAGGGCCCAAAAGGCCAAAATGCCAGCGTGACCCTTTTTATTGGGACGCCCTGTATTTTTCTTCGATGTTTCCGACTGTTTCAGTTCTGGCGAACGGCTTTGGTGCCACTTTTGGTTGGCAGCCAGCTACTCTCCGTGTCTTTTGCCGTAATTTATTCGATAGCTGGGGCCTACTATTTTGCGGCTGCCCGCTATACGTGGTATTTGGCGGCCGGCTTGAACAGATTTGTAAGATTTGTAGCTTGTACCTTGGGCTTATGACAATTTTCGTGCTACTACATCCTCCAAATTTGCCATTTTAAAAAAATTGATGAATTTTCAGCCTGGATTGAGCTCCGGAATCTGGTGTCTCGGCATGAACTGCATCGTCGTCACCATTGCGCTAGTTTTTAATGGGCTCGTGGTTCGGAAGCTGTTTCAGATCCGCGGAGCGCGCAAACGCGATAACGTCAAAGTTATTTCCAGGGTAGGTTAAGACTAGTTTGTTGCACATCAGATAAAGGAGGGGGGCACACAAAGCTTTTTATAATCAACCAGGGTTGAAAACCGCTTCGCGGCACCCGTGGCCTAGGGCCTGTCAAAGTCAATCTTCAATTTGCATGCTTCTACCGAATTCTAGGACGAAAAAGTGAAAAACGCGCCCTCTCTTTCTTTTTATAAGCCGCCTCCACTTCCGGTGCATGCTAATTGATTCCTAACAAAGAGGATAGCCGAGAATTTTAGAAAAACCTAATTTTAGCGGCGAAAAAGAACTTTTCCAAAATCTGATAAGTGTGCAGCCGTTCCCAATGACGTATCAAACACCCCCGTAGCTTCCCTCTTTCTTGAGATACGACTGGAACAACCTGACGGAAGTTGCATGCAAATGCACACACGCACACACACAAGAACTATTTTTTATATATAGTAGGATATATTTTAAACATGGTTTTTTTCCCGCTATAAAAGAGCTCTAAATATCTAAAACGCCGTAAGTATCCTAACAAATTAATTAATTGTAAGGCGGGTTATGTTCATTTTTCCTAAAAATCATTTTTCCTAAATTCATTTTTCCTAAATTCATTTTTCCTAAAAATCATTTTTCCTAAAAATCATTTTTCCTAAAAGTCATTTTTCCTAAAAATCATTTTTCCTAAAAGTCATTCTTCCTAAAAATCATTTTTCCTAAATTCATTTTTCCTAAAATTTTTCATTCAATAGGGATGCGTAAAAATATCAAGAAATTCCAAATGCTATCATTTTTTAGCAGTATTTGTTTGGTTTGGTTATTAGTAGGCTTTTATCGAAAATCTTTCTTATTATCATTGATCCTTTTCACTTCCAATCACCCAAATCTAGGCTAAACGCGCAACTAAAATACTTCCTATGATCACTCTTGGCAGATCTGACCTTATTCTAAAAAATTTTTTTATTTTCTCATTCATAGTACTAAAGAACTAGGCCTTTTCGGTATTTAACCGGTTTTAGGAAAAATGATTTTTAGGAAAAATGACTTTTAGGAAAACTGATTTTTAGGAAAAATGATTTTTAGGAAAAATGATTTTTAGAAAAAATGAATTTAGGAAAAACCAGGGTTGAAAAGCCGCTAAGCGGCTTTTCACCCCTGGCCTTTGCGCGGGGATCTTAATACGTTGGGCACTTTGCATAATTCTAGCGAATTAGTGCCAACCTCTCAACCTTAACAATCACAAAAGCGACCGACTGAGAGCGTGACAAAATCCAAAATGAGCCTCCTAGGGCCTTGTATGCAAATGAGGGCATTTCCATATGTTTTTAAAACACTAAAATAAGGTATAAATCGTCATTTTCTTAAAATACTGATAAGCGTGCAGTAATCTACGTCCTCGAATACACCTAAATACCTTTCGACTGGGCCCGAAAAACCTTCCCCCTTCGCGATATCTTGGTAACCCGGTTTTTTCGGGTCATTTATGCAAAGTGTCCACAGACACACACAGACACTACTTTTTTTTATATATAGTAGGATATATTTAGGAAAAATGATTTTTCGGAAAAATGACAGGAATTCTCCTAAGGCGTTCCTATGGTTTTCGAAAATCGTTTTGAGGCCATAAAACCCTTATATTAAATCTTTTCGTGATGCAAAAAAAGTATCCTAGTCTTCTGTAAAGTGTAGTATATTTTTTGATGCTCTATCGATTGGCGATTGGCGATTGAAAATCACAAAATTCTTTCAAAAATTGGGCTCGCCCCAAAAAATTTTGCAACACATTATTTTGGGTTGAACCGACTCTTAGTATATTTTTGGGCGCGCTATCAAGTGGCACTGGCGAAATTCCACAGAATTTTCGAATTTTATAATAACGACTCCCCCCGTGGCGCTATTTCTACCGCTATCATTACCCAAAATTCATACGTAGAAATATCATGGAAATTCGAAAGAGAAAACAGATCGACAAAACGTTTGAACAATCCCCTTTTCAGGCCGAGCGAAAGTTGTGCTTCGTCAGCTTATATTCATACCTCTTCGTGTTGATTTACATTGGCTCTCAGGTGAAAGACTGACTGCTATTGTAATTTAAATTTGAATTTAGTGCTGCAACACGTGGCTGGAAGAAAAGGACAAGGACTTGACCCATGTAGATGAAACTCAAAAACCCCAAACTCAAACTGTTTTAGTTCCTGGCCCCGCTGAGCTCGCAGCTGCTCTGTCTGAGCACCGTGTGGATTTGGTACTGGTACTCAAAGGATTTGCGTTCAATGCTGAGCAACAGCGGGCAAATTGGCGATGGGGATACGAGTGGGTCACGCACTGTCGCTGTTCTGACTTTAAATGAAAGGTCTAGGAAATAAAGGAATTTTTATCGGTTGCTATCAATTGCAACCTTGGTGCACAAGACATAATTTGGATCTTCTAAAAGGTGTTTTTTTCCGAAGTATACTATTGACGTCGGGTTAATCCGATGGTCGGTTTCTAGAGTTATGAGGCACTCGCTGACCGATAGCGTATTAAAAGGTTCAAAATTTTCAACTATGCAGTGATGTGCTAATTGCCTCACTAACTGTAAAGTGTTTTTACTCAGGCTGGCGTTTTAGGCGGCGTGCTGGCGTTTTTTAAATTAACGCCAAAAAAAATCCAGATTTAGTCCATTTTTTAGTCTAAATGTCGAATAACTTTTTAAAAAAAGTCGGCAGCAAATTTGGAATGATTCTGATTCAGCGAAAAATTCTGCATAAGATAGGCTTGGTCCCATTCTAAAACGCCAACCTGAGTAAAAACACTTTCCAGTAAGCACCAGACATGAAAGACGATTTCCCCGAAATTCCATGGTTCAATTAGCGTCCCAAATAGTTGGTAAAACGCTTTAAATTGTCACTTGCATTCCCTAGAGACTTTGTTCAGTACAGCAACTGTCCATTTTGTTGCCCTATTTCCACCCAAATGTGGTCATCAATGAGCTGTGAGTCCGGACTCCAGCTTACAAGTTCACAAGGAAACCTTCGGAAGGCACGGTGGGTTTCCGATCTGGGTCTGGCCCACCTATCTTGTGCAGAATTTTCTCTGATTTTAAACCTGTCTGAAAAACCGCAAATCAGCTCGGACTCGACAGTAGGTCGACACAAATTTCGAGCTGCCCCCCCCCCCCCCCCAAATCGGGGTCGTCAATTTTTGCTTTAAATGGAATTTTTAAATTTTTAACACTAGTTTTAGTGTTATAAACCCTATGTTTTCAAAAATGTTGCCTGCGGCGCTGTAGTTTTAGTCATATTAGTGAAAAATTTATGGGGTCGCCCCCCTCCGCGAAATTTGGGTTTGTTACGGCCCTGACTACATTACAGTTTATAGAAAATGGGGCAACATCGGTGCGAATCGTGTCCATGGCGACTAGAACGGTTTCACAAACATGACCATTGGATTCAAGTAAATATATAATGGATAGGACTTTCGACTACAGGGTGTCCCAAAAAAAGCACCCCTCCGGCATTTCGCCGTATTACGTCCCGTCGGTCCGATACTTTGCACAACGATGTATCAGTCCCTAAATAACCACAATCCTCAATTATAGCCCGATCGCTGCAGTAGTTTTCGAGTTATCGCCAAAATACTATTTTTTATGCGATTCTTGACAGTTTTTTCGGCTATCTTTTTGGACTTTGCATCGATTTGCATCGACTTCCGGCTGCGAATCCCTAATTTCGCTTGATATCGGGGGGTGACTTTGCGTTACAAAAATTGTTGAAATCAACGGCTATTTAATTAATTTCTATCAGCAAAAAATTCTAGTGATAAAGAAGGTTTGCCGCTTCATTTTCACTGAATATTCGCGGCGCCGATTCCGACGAAAACCTTATGAAAAACCGATAATAAAGTTTATTTTTGCTGTATCTCAAAAACTACTGTAGCTGGCGGGCTATAACTCAGGATTGTGGTTATTTATGGTCTGATACACCCCTGGTCCAATTTTGGGACCCATCGGATGTAAAATGGCGAAATACGGGAGGGGTGCTTTTTTATGGGACACCCTGTATACACAGGGTGTCCCAAAAAAAATCCCCTCCCCCTCTAGCCGGCCGCAGACTTGTCCGATTTTTACGATTTAGGTATCTATCGAAAGCTCTTGGAAAGGCGAGTCCAGCACGTCGTGCGGATTTGCGAAATGTCGGCATTTTTCATGCCAAAAGGACAGACTTTTTTTGTTCCAAACGCAATCTAACCGGTTTAAGCGCTGTCCAGGCTGTGTTTTGGCAAACGGCTTTTAAAAAGCTGTCGTTGGATTGCCAGGAAAGGCGTAAAAATTCTAAAAAAATTGCGATTTTTGTAAAAAAAACCCCTGGTCAGAACAACATCAGAAAATCCGCCCATTGTGGAAAAACATTAGTAACTGGTGGAAAAAATTCCAAATTGTGAAAATCGAAGAGAAGTGCTGGACTCGCCTTTCCGAGAGCTTTCGATAGATACCTAAATCGCAAAAATACGACAGGTCTACGGCCGGCTAGGGGGATTTTTTTGGGACACCCTGTATACAGTAATTGAGACAGAACAAATAATGACGATAAGACGCTTGCACAAACTTGAAACTTTGCTCTGGGTCGTGATATTGAAAACGAGGAACGAGGAAGCTGCGCAATTAATAACCACCGGAAACTGATTTCCACCTTTTTCGCTCACAGGTGAAATTGTTCGCGCGAGAGGTTAGCAGCCAGTTGCCAACATTTACGGAATAATGGTTGTGCAGGATGGCGACTTGCTAATCGAGTGCTGCTTTTGGTATAAACAATTTGCAATGTTGATTGTGCTGCCGTTGGGATGTGCAACGATCTGGACAATATGGACTCAATCTGGGGACACGATGAAAGCCATGGTTCCGTATCTGTTGGTATTTCATGTAAGGTTTCTGCTCTAAGCTCTGATCAACGTGGTCCGCCATTTCAGGGAACAATTTTGATGTTTGACCTATTTTTTCTGGTGACAGATGTGAGAACGTGGTTTCCTGTGATTGGGCTTACCTATCGACCGATAATATCAGTGCCGTTTTTGCTGGAGGTTTACTACGTAAGCTAAAAAATGGAAATGAAAGAGAGTAGCAATTAGCCAATAGCCTGTGGACTTTTGCTGACTGGAGTATTGGCCATGGGTGTGCTTCTACGACGTCGTGCTGCCGCCGTGGCTGGCGTGTTGCAGCACGTTCCGCAAAAAGTGCTACTTACTGTCGAGGTTTGATTTTGTCGCAGGAATTTGCTTTGATTTTCCGCGCCATTCCATTCGGTGCTATTCTAGGGGGTTTTCGGGGTGACGATGGAGCTCGGTGTCGTTTTGACGGCCTATTTTGGTGTAGCCGATCGTGCAAAGGCCGAGCAATACTACAGGACGGTGGTATGGAGCCGCGCCGTCTACTTTAAATCGTTAATTGATTAGTTTCCACATCAGCCACAATTGTTGCCTTCTAACCAACCTGCCGTTTATTATGTCCCGTCGATCAACCCGATTTTTAGTTATTATGTGGGTTTAAAAACGAAGTCTTCCAAAACAAGATGTTCAGATCGGGCTGTTGTGCTTTCTAATCTGCGTGCTGGTGCTCGAAATCTTATTTTCGATATACGCTTTTATTCACGCGTTAGAGAGGCGGAGTCGGGATGGATCGAGGGTCCGATCCAAGCAACAAACACGCGCATACCAGTGTATTTTATTGCAGGTAGTAACGGATCTTGGTTATTTTTAATGGAGCTTGTACCTGCAAGGTAAAAACCTTTCCATTGCAGTTCATGGCGCCTGCTTCGGGAATTATCTACAGCCTAGGTGTTGGATTGGCGGCAACTTTTGGGGTGGACCTGCCCTTTGAATGTAAGCAAAAAAGTTGTCGCTTCAAAAGCCATCTGCAGATTTAAATCCACTGCTTCCGATCACCTTTAGCCTGAACACCTACTGGGTATCTGCTACCTGTATTGCTTTTAATGCCAAATATAAGCAGTATTTCTTTCAACGTTTTGTTCCGAAGTTTCTTCGACCGATCGACGAGTCGCCGGCTTCGCATCCAAGGCTTCTAACGCAAAGTGTTGCTGCTGTTACCAGGCATTAAAAAGGTATAATGTCTAGCGTTGACACCGTGAGGCCGTTCAGTTGGGCCGCTTTTTTGTCAGATAAATTGTAAGGCAAAAATTGAAAAGCACGCTCGCCACACTCATTTTCACCCTCGTCATTTCCAAGGTGTACAGCACATTACCGTGCGTCATAGGACAAAACCCAGTCCCTTGAACTTATTATGGCTGTATGTACTGGTGAAGGCGTCGATTTTTTTTTGTAAATTAATCTGGCAAGGCCCGACAGGTGAATTTTTGGCGTTGGAAAACACGCCGAGCAGAACAAGTTAAGTTATCCCTAATGGCTGACGTTGCTCAAAATGGCGACTTATTTTTGGCGTACTGCTTTTCGTAGAAATAGTTTGCATTGTTTATTGCGGTTATGGCAATATGCGGCCAGAAAAAAAAAAAAAAAAAAAAAAAAAAAAATCGGTGTACTTCGTTAGTTACGTATTGCT